CGGCTTAGGCTACAGGTGCTATGACGAGTTATCCATCACGATTACAGCAATAGACACAAATGTTTTTGTATCAGAAGAGTTGCAGTTACTTCAAAATCTCACCTTCAGGAATCCGCTTAATGTTAATTTACGACGTGTGCTAGCATTGAGTATACTACCGTCTTCATCTATCGTATCGTCTATTCCGTAATGTGAAGCTGGCTTTAACTTTTCCAAGCGATCTGTTATATGAAAAGGTGATACAAGGAATGCTAGTTGATTTTAACACAACTAAATGGTACGAAGAGAAACTGGGTTTCGATGAATTTCTTGAGATAACATTGTTAGGGAGACTTTCATTTCGTATGGAAGTGAATAAATCTCTTCTTCATTCACTTTCATAGAAAATGAAAGTCCCACTAACAATTAAATGAGTAAGCCTCAGGATACCATTAAGGTTATTACTGCCTTTCCGTCCAAAATGCATTCTCATCTGAGTCAAGTACACTTCAGATAATATTTTCTGAATTTTATTTTTAATATTCATCTATTTCGATTTTAAGGTTGTTAGCCTTACGGGAATTTTTTATGTGAACATTTACAGTTCTGTTCTTAATTACAATATAATCTTTGCTTTATGGACACAAGTTTACTTCAGAAAATTAGGTACTGATTTGGTTGATATTGTGATTTGTGGGGATTATGAATGGTTTACTTGCTTTTTTAAGGTTTTCTTCATAAATAATGATAATTATTGATACGAAGACCATTTCGGTCACAGTCGCCTTCCGGTCTGCGGTCTGACCTCGTTTTATCCACTTGACCGTGCTATCGGGGCAACCTATTTGGACACACCTTTTCCGAAGCCCTCTGCTATAGAAGTTAGCATAATTCCCAGCGCCCGATCATGGACTTGGTACATTCGCAAACTCTTCTCCGGCATCGTCAGTGAGTCTTGCCATTCTCAGCACCAAACTACAACGCATCAGCGACAATGGGGTCTAACATTCCTTAGAAACTGTTGTGCTATCACTCCTCCATCTACTCCCTATCCTCTTGTCTCACTCTTGTCGATCGCAACTTCTGACTTGTTTATATTCCAATCCTCAAGAGGCGAGTTTACCGTGGCGTCATCACATCTGCTGTCTGCCCCTTCGAGTGGCTCATCCGACTCGAGTCTCGTGTCCGGATCTGCCTCATGGGCCAGTAGATCCATTTCTTATCTTTCAGGTTGTCCGATTTCACTCAGTTCCAGACCTAATGTACGTTTTACTTCGGGTGCTAGTTCTAAAGCCTTCTGTAGCATGTATAATGTCGCCCCAGCTGAAGAGCGCCTATGCTCGGATTCCCATTCTTAACAATATTAAGCATTGCCGTAATGTGTTAACTCCTCTATTAGATTGTCAGGGGGACCTTCATTTCGAATGAAAGTGCATGAAGAAGAGATTCGTTGGTCGATCTCACCAGATGAGGACGGATGAAGCTCGTTGTACTACAGCCGTTTGGCTTTTATACAATATTCATGTTGACGCAGACCACGAGACTTCCTCCCTCGTTTTGGGTGAAAACATGCTGAGCTTTCGCCCATCATATGATGGACATGATAAGAGCTGGGTGTCATTCTTGTAAAAGTCTCACGTTAACACTAAAGCAGCAACACTATCCGGCTCTATCTTACTTCTTATATAGACTCAATTGAGCCAAAAGAAAATTAAAAACCTAGAAAGATCGATCTAGAGTGGTTTGGCTAATTTTCTTTCATACGGGTTCTGTTATTTTTGCTCGATTGTATGAGTATTTATATTTGTATGTGATAGCGTGTATATGCAATACGGTTTCTAAATCAGACTTGTCAAAGGTTAAATCTCAGGTTCTGATCCTCAAGACCTAATAACCCAAGAGAAAATCTTTGACCGGGACTGACCGTAAATAAGTTTAGAAGATCTTGATGTCTTGAGGATCAGAACCTGAGAATTACCCTTGACAAGTCTGATTTAGAAACCGTGATTCATATAGACGCTAAAACGCACAAATATACATACTCATACATTCGAGCAAATAAAAAGAACCAGTATGAAAGAAAATTAACCAAACCCATCTATATCGATCTATCTAGGTTTTTAATTTTTAATTTTTGGCTCGATTGAGTCTATGTCAGAAGTAAGATAGAGCCGGATAGTGTTCTTGGCCTAGTGTTAACGTGAAACTCTTACAAGAATGACATCCAGCTCTAATGATGTCCATCATATGATGGACGAAAGCTCAGTCTGTTTTCACATGAAACGAGGGAGGCAGTCTCGTGGACTGCATCAACGTGAATAACGTATTAAAGCCAAACGGCTGCAGTACGAGTTTCATCCGTCCTTATCTGGTGAGATCGACCAAAAAATCTCTGCTTCATACAATTTCATTCGAAATGAAGGTCCCCCTAACAATGTTACCTCAGGAGATTCATCGAAACCAACTTTCTCTTTGTATCCTCTTTTAGACCCGTTTACCCTAAACAAACTGTGAATGCCTATCTCTGGTCGCCTGCTATCTCTCGAGTAGCTTTTTAGCCAATTTGGCTATAAGACTGCATCTCTGTAACTGTTGTGATAATCAGGCCCTCGAATTTGCAGTTATTTATTCAAGCAGACTACACTCACCGAGAGCGTCTTTACTTGATTTTCCAAACTTCCTTACCCTCTTCTTCGTTGCGATCCCTTTTCCTCTGGCTTACGATAGATCCTTGATCCAGGCGTCTCCTTTTTTCTTGTCTTGCTGTATCCTTGCTTCTCCTAGTTTGCATAGGCAAAAGGCAAAGTTATCGCTAACTCTGCCTTTCTTCAATCTCCTGTTTATTATATTTTTCCCCAAAAGATGTAGTTGACCTCTCTAATCTTTCATTTCCTTTTATTCTCACCATATGAGGCCCTTCTTTTTGTTGTCTTTCAATTAATCTCGTGTATATGTTTCGTTATTTTTTAGCCTACTTTATCCATTTTCCTGCAGAGCCTTTGATGATCCTCGGTCGTATGATAATTTTCTCCTTGATTCATCAGCATATTTCTGTTTGCAGCTTCCGCATGCTTTGCTATAAACTCCAGAGCAATCAGATTTCCCCACCCTCCCATGTTGTGTGGGTAGACTTGTCAAGATCAATATTTATTCCTTCGTGGTCACCTGAATATTATATTTCCTTAGTATTACTCGTAGTTTTTGAGCTTAGCAGGAAGTTATGGATATCCACTTTTGTTAGTCTTTATCAATCCTTATTCCGACATATGAATTCTTTTGGAACAATTTTCTCTTGAGCGTCCTATTAGAGTGAATGAACTCAACATCTATGAAAAGTAAACGCCCATCTTTTTTCCACTTGTATTATGAATTTGAATCTTTCATCAATCCGGTTCATAAACTTCAGGAAATCCTCAAATATTTCTCTTCAATGCCATCAATTTGCGAAGTAGTCATCCAGATAAAGTATAAGAACTCCTGGTTGCAGCGATGACGTGTTGAAATTCTCTTCTAATTTGTTCATGTATACATTTGCCATAGGGAGTCCAACTGTCTATTCATAGATGTTACCGTCGAATATAAAATAGGGAGTCCTTATTGTCAAGTTGATTAGTCATGTTAGCGATTCTCTTCTGATACTCTCTGCTTCTAGCATATCCTTTTCTAGATTAAAAATTCCTACCAAGACTGTTAGCGCCTTTTTTTCTTGATATGTTTGTGTACATAAATATAACATTTAAACTTATCAATGATTCCGTTTCTTCCGGCGTCATGTTTTTGATCCTCTTAGAAATTTCATGTGAATGCTTCACTTTATTTGATAATCTGTTGTCTACCCTCTTGAGTTTTTGACATGAACTTTGCTAATTTGTGTGTTGCTTCATACTTTTTGTTGGCTATCAGTCTTAGTGGTTCTCCTCTTTTGTGAAACTTCGCTAACCCATAGGCTGTTGATGGTCGTGCATCCTTTTTTATTAGTGAATCTGTTGTCAATCCATTGACCTCCTCTTTCCTCTGCATATCTTTCAGCATCCCCCGTAAAGTTCCATTGATCTTCCTTGTTGATCAATGCGATAGGCAATCCTGTTTTTCAGTATAAATTCCATTTTCTCTATATATTGTTTTCGGTTCATTACAGCTGTCGCTTCTCCTTTGTTCGCCTGAAGGATCAATTGTTCATCCATTTCAAGGATTCTTCGTATCTTTGCAAATATGTTCATGTGCATTGGTTCTAATGTGTCAAGATTCTAATGATTATTTCCATCCCTATTTCCCGTTTTGTCTCCTAAGGGAACTTGTCGGAGATATTAATGACCTCCACCAGAATGTCCTTTGGAATATTAATCTAATTTTGAAGATAAATCCTAATCCTATCATAAGAATCGTAGTGGTTTCAGAATCAGGAGGAGACGAGGATAAATTAATCACCTTATTCCGCTCGTTGTACTCATGAGTAGATGTCACCGCCTTGGAAGCTTCCTTAACTGGGCACGCCGGCTTTAACTTCATTTCCTTTGATCCTAAAACCATGACCCTGACAATGCGACCAGGTTGCGAAAACTAGGTCAGACTATAATGGTAAATATTTTTCATACTTTATTTACACATTTGAATTTGGTTAAAGATATTTTGCTTTGAGTATAAACAAATTGAGTTTTATGTTTTTACTTCTTTTTTTGTTGTTATATCACAATTAGAAGTAGTAGTATTATTAAAACTTACTTTACTTGGGGCATACCGTATATTATACTATATATTATATATTTATATGAAGTAAAGTATGGATTCATTAGATTTACTGAGTAGCATAGGTATCATTAAAATATAAAATCGAAGTCGAATCTGGGTTGTGTGGGTAGAGTTGCCATAGATTACTACTCCGCTGCACTTTTCGGGTGCCAGTGGATCAGAAGGTAATTGCAAATTTCAATGCAATTTAGGCCTCTTATAATTCATATTTATTTTACTGTATATAAGGCAATATTATATTTGCTACATTATTTATTTTCGATGAAGTAGATCTTTGAATTATGACAATCTCTCAAATAATGCTCGGAACAAAGTCTTATAAGGCGATGTAAACTCTATGAATTCAATTCACCATAATTTTCCTCTTAAGAAATTGAAATATATAATCTTATGTAACCTTATTTGGAAATATTTTCCAGTATTTCGACTTCTACCAGATCTGCTCAACGTATTCTTCCCGAATAATCATGATTCGTGAATCAAGTCTCTACTAAAAATTGATATATTATCAAAAAAATCCGGGCATAAGGGCGCGTTAAAGAAACTCTGAGGAAATCTGTTTTCTGAGTTATTGGCATGCTTCAGAAATATTCGCAGTGCAATTTGTCAAATAACGTATATTGAGCATTTTGATCTTCCATGCCTAGGATTCAGGTTACATTCTGTTTAAGATGATAGCAGCCTTGTGGACCAATATTGCAGTACAAATAATTTAAGTTGTTTGACCTTGGTCATATTAGCAGGAAGACTTAGAGGAACGCACCTTGTCAGGAGTCTATGGTATGCATGAGCATTTCCAGAGTCGGACCGTGAACTTTATACACATCCTCCTGGTCTTTATACCTACATATAATTTAACTTCATTTGTGGCATTCATGAGCCACATTTTAATCAAATAAGTTTGGAAACAAATTAAAAAATAAAACAGGATCACAAATCAGATTTATGTAAATAAATGCACTACTTTCTAATTAAATGACGTAAGTGAAGTTGAGTTACACACAGAGCAAAACGAACCCTTATTTCATAACTTTGGTGTGCACTCTGTGTGGGTTGAGAGAGGATGATAATGTCTTGTGAGTCGAATGCTCTAGAAGCATCTGCCTATACATCAGGTCTATGATTTTAGCTTAGCTGAGCAAGCCGATGGAGCAAAGGGGATACCAAAAGTTTGTTAGTTCCTGAACGAGAAACTCTTTTGAGATAAATTATACGGGGAAATACGGCATCGAAAACAATCTTCCATGATTATTAATGCATAATATAACTAAAATGTCTATATCACTCAATTAGGAATAAACTGTCTGAAGGCTCAGAGCTACGACCACAGTTGTGACACTACTTTTGATCATTGTGCGTAGCTACCTTTCTTATACTTTGTGTACTT